AGGCCCATCTGAAGTTTGACAATAAATGATTCAGAGGATAACTGTGTTGTGGTCAGATGAGATCAAAATCTGGCTCTTTGTTTTCAACTCAACTCACCGTGTTTGGAGGAGGAGGAATGCTGCCTATGACCCCAACAACACCATCGCCACCGTCAAACATGGAGGTGGAAACATTATGCTTTAGGGGTGTTTTTCTGCTAAGGGGACAGGACAGCTGCACTGCATTAAAGGGACGATGGATGGGGCCATGTACCATCAAATCTTGGTTGAGAACCTCCTTCCCTCAGCCAGTAACATTCACTAGGGAACCCTAACAAGCAGACAGGACAAAGAAGAGAGAATTGCAATACCGATCCTTCGAATGGTCGGATTATGCAAAAAGGGATAGTCAAAACATGATCCAGAAAGGGAAACAGAGAGACGTAATAACTAGTGATGTCGCGAACCCGAAATTTTCAGTTCGCGAACGGCGAACGCGAACTTCCGCAAATGTTCGTGAACTGGCGAACCGCCCGAAACGCCATTGACTTCAATGGGGAGGCGAATTTTAAAACACACAGGGACTCTTTCTGGCCACAATAGGGATGGAAAAGTTGTTTCAAGGGGACTACCACCTGGACTGTGGCATGCCGGAGGGGGATCCATGGCAAAACTCCCATGGAAAATTACACAGTTGATACAGAGTCTGGTTTTAATCCATAAAGGGCAGAAATCACCTAACATTCCTAAATCACAATCAATATGGATTGACACCTGACATGACATATTGACACCTTGATATATGGATTGACACCTGTCCTCGTGAGCCCTGATGCACACACGGACACAGAGCAGAATGAGACCAACCCCTACATAGCTCACTCGGCAGATATGGATTGACACCTGTGTCCTAAGAACTCTGGGATACACACCCTCGACACAGAAAGCAGAATAGGGACTGTTCCCCCTACATCGGTCACTTGCATATGGATTCGACACCTGTCCAAGGTTCCCCAGTACATACTCGACACAGAGCAGAATAGGGATCAATATCCCCCTACATCAGTCACCGGCAGATATGGATTGACACCTTGTTACAAACTGCTATTTGTAACGGGCCCTTTAAATGGCAAATTGCCCTGCTTCCCTGGGTTGTGAGAAGCCTACTTGCCAGCCTCCTCCCGCATGACTATGGCCCCTGGGAGATTGTGAAAATGTATGCACTTTTATTTGGTGTGTATGGCCCTTTAAGACCGTCGGTGGGCATATTGGGGCTTATGGACTCTTTATGTGACTGGTGCTGGCCCTTTAAACACCTTTTTTGGGACATCAGGAAGATTGGGACACTGCCCCTTTAAGGCCGTGTCCCCAGACTTGTTGGGGACACGCCCCCTTTAAGACGGTGTCCCCTGTGTCCCCAGACCTGGTGCAAACCCTTTGTGCCTGCCTTGCTATTTCCCACTTGGTTCAGTAAATGGGAAATTATTTCAGCTGTAGAGACTAAGTCCCATTCGGCGATGGGACTTAGTCTTTTTTTCAGCCGTTTTTTTCAGCCTTATTTCAGCTGCAGAGACTAAGTCCCATTCGGCGATGGGACTTAGTCTTTTTTTCAGCCGTTTTTTTCAGCCTTATTTCAGTTGCAGAGACCAAGTCCCCATTCGCTGAGTGGGACTTAGTCAGTTTTTTCAGCCTGAAATAGACCGAATTCTCACAGCCCAAATCTATGGAACTGTTTTTAAAGCAGGAAAATGTGCTTGCAGTCATCATATAAAGGGACCTCCTAGCTAACTTTTTAACCCCTGGATGGATTTGGCTGATTTTCAAGTTGCGAGTTTTAAGTGTGCTGGATTCCAAATATGTACTATGCAGTTATTGGGATGTGTAGTTTTAAAGTTACAGGTATGTATAAAAACTGTATTTCTTACCTTTTCCTGTGTTTAATTATGTTAATCTCTTCCCCAAACGCTATTCGCTCAAAGTGGAGAGAATGTTAAAAAAATATATTTTTGTTCGGAGTGTGAGAAATGCTTTTCAGCCGCTTCTAATCTTAAGCATCATTTGAGGAGCCATACAG